CGTCTTTCGCTCATTATGTATCCTAAAAATTTGTCCCCCTTAACTGCAAAGGCACATTTCTTGGGATTCAATCTCATCTTCGCATTCCTCATGATTCCGAAGACTTTTTCCATATCTCGAACATGATCCTCCTTCTTCCCGTTTGTGATCAGGATGTCATCCACATAAGCTTCCATGGTGACCCCCAACACTTCTTTGAACAACATCCCGATCATTCTCTGGAATGTGGCCATAGCATTCTTCAACCCGAACGACATGACAATGTAGCAAAATACCCCGTCCGAGGTGACGAATGTTGTTTTCTCTGCATCAGGCACGTGCATAAAGATCTGGTGATACCCTCGGAAGGCATCCATAAAGCTCAATAGCTCACACCCGGCGGTCTCATCTACCAGCCAATCGATCTTAGGCACATGATAAGGATCCATGAGGCATGTCTTGTTCAGATCGGAATAATCAACGCACATCCTCCAAGTTCGCCCCTTCGGGGCGAGGACTACATTAGACAACCACTCCATGTGGATTAACAGTCTAATGTGCTTCATTTTGAGTAGTGTGGCCACCTCATGTTTGGTAAAATATCGTCGTTCAGCCGCCCGGTAGCATTTCTTCTACTGCACTGGTTTAACCTCCGGCCGAACGGCTAACACATGACAAATAATTTCTGGGTCTATGTCCGGCATGTCTTCTGGTCCTTTGGTGAACAGGACTTGAAACTCCATGAGTACTGCAATCACCCCTTCCCGAATCTCAGGGGCCAAATCCACCCCAATTGCAACCTACCGATCGGGGGGTGAGTCAAGCTCAACATATTTCAGCAAGGTGTCTGGCTCAGGGCGCGCGATAAATTCCGTCCGGCGGGTCTCCTCAACAATGCTATTCACCCGCAGGTCTCGGTCATTTATCTTCTTCATTGCTTCCCTCTAACAGCTGTGGGCTGTGGCCGGATCCGTTCGGGCTACTCCAACCCCAGTGTCAGTTGGGAACTTTATTCAGGAGTGCCGAACGGAAGCAATTGCTTCCAAGTCTTCTAATCTGGGTCGGCCCAAAATGGCATTGTGGGCGCATTGAATTTCCACCACCACAAATGTCATACAGACGGCCGCCCGGTGTCCCTCGTCTCCAATTTCGACCAGAAGGGAGATGGTCCCTTCCGTATCGATACAATTTCCCGTGAAGCTTGCCAATGGTGTTTTTACGGGTATCAGCTGTAGGTCCCTCCCTAGTTTCATCCTCTCAAATGTCCGCAAGTATAGGACGTTCACGCTACTCCCTGTATCCACCAGGACTCGGTGGATAAGGGCATATCAACACACATACTTACCACCAGCCTGTCCCTATGCGGACATGGTGATGCAAAAATATCCGCATGACCGAATGTGATTGGTTTGATCCTTATCTTCTTCTGAGGCGGGTCAGAGACGTAAGCCACACGTAGGCTATGCTCGAACTTCTTGCGTTCGGCAGTCGTGTCTTCAGTTTCTCCCCCGCCAAAGATGACCTTGATTTCCATTCTGGGTTTCTTCCCTGGATTTCTTGAACCTTCGGCCTCCTCCCTAGGTGGTATATATACATCATTCTGCGGTTGGGCATCTCGTTGATCGTCCCTCTTCAAGCTTTTGGATTTTTTGAGGGGACCTGTGGAATTTGGGTTCCGGTTCACATAATTCCCCAAGTGGCCCTGCTGGATCAGTTCCTCGATGACTACCTGAAGCGCTCGGCAAGTATGGGTGGCATGCCCCTTCCTCTTGTGGTATTGACAATAAGCATCCTCGTTCCCCATATGGTCCCTTGTATCTGTATGAGGGAGGGATGAAGTTCTTTTCATAGTGAAAGACGGATGCAATGGAAAGGACGAGCGGGGTGAAGTGCTTTGTTTTCATAGGGGGTGCGGCCGCTGGGATAGGACCTAGCCGGTTGGCCAACTTTGCTGGTGCAGAAGGTGTAGGCACCGTATCCCTAATCATAATTTCTTCCTCAAGGGCAGCATGTTTCCGAGCCCTAGCCAGCACTTTGGTATATGCCGTCCGTGGGTTCTTCTTCAGGTCCCTATAAAGTTCCCCAGTCTGTAGGGCATCAGTGAAGAGGGTGATTGATGTGTCCTCCGTCATGCTTCTGACCTTTAGGGTTTCGTCTCTCCATCTTTTCAAAAACTGATTGATGGATTCTCTTGGCCCCTGCTTGACACTGGTTAGGTAACTGAAGTGCCGTTTAGGGGTGGCGCTGGAAGCAAATTGTGCCAAGAACAAGGATGACAATTCGGCGAAACTGCCGAGCGACCCAGGCTGCAGGGTCCCGAATCACTCATGGGCGCCCCCTGAGCGTGCTAAAAAATAGTCTACAAATGGTTGCATCTGTTGCTCCCAACAACATGATCCCTCCTTGATAACTTCTCAAATATACATGGGGATCCCCCATACCATCATATGTCTGACCGGTCGATGGTCTGGCATCCCTCTGGATTTCCACATTCATGATCGCTCTGGTGAAGGGGGAAGTGACCCCGACCCGTTCCGGGGTGGGTTGCAGGGGTGTCCTGTTCACCTGCTCTCTCAATTCAGTCATCTGCCTCCTCATTTTGGTCATTTCCTCCTCATGAGTTGTACGGGGAGGTGATGGTGGAGTTCCCAGATCCACCAACTATGGGTTCTTTCTGGTGGGGGTCCATTCTGATTCTGACGTCTTTGTAAGATCCGGGTACCATCACGTTCTTTGTATTGGAAATAGGGACCAACTGACGTGGCTCCTCTCACTTGGGACCCGACCGGGGTGTGGTCACTATGAGTGTGTTGCCTGTCCCTTGTCTCGTGAGCCCTTTGGTGATCTCCCCGATGGGCCCGCGCATGGACCGAGGCCCTGGTCGTTTCAGTATCAGCAGTGTTATCATCAAATGTGGTTTCTGCTGTGTAACTAGATTGCCCCCATCCTGCGCATCTGCCATATGTTGCATCACCCTTGCTAGGTCGCGCATGGCATGGGGATTTCTTCTGAGTGCTTCGGGGATAAAGAAGTCCCCGTCGAATTGTTGGTAGGAGGCCTCGTTGGAGCGTCCTTGGGTGGTCCTGCTGTCCTCACGTCTCCCCGAGCTTCCACCAGTATGATGATAGGTGATTCTGACCATTTTGTAGGTAGTTTTTTGCTTAAATCAGTGTTTTGCTTTGGAAACTTTTAGTAACGTTTTCCACAGATGGCGCCAATGTTGAGATTAAGTACCGAATGACCCGAAGACCCAACACCAACCTTGGATCTAAGATAAATTGCTACAGTAATGTGTATCAAAGAAATATAAAAGTTGATAGGTTCACTCAAATAGTCTTGCTTGTATTAACACAGTAATAGTGATTACACGGAAATGACCGAACGGTAGTTACGGTCCAGATGATAATACAAGAGTTATAATGCAATATAAGCTTGAGAGTAAATAAAATCTAACCCTTACAATGAATTAAATGCTGCTATTTATACTAGATGGGGGTAGGGGGTACCCTAATATGATTGGTTGCCTCACATGCCACTTGACGTCCCCATGATCCAGCATTAACAGCAATCGGTTACTTGAGCAATGTTCGTTCGCGATTAAGTCCAGCTAAGCCATCAATCAGAAATAAGCTAATTACCCAAGTATTAATTATATCCCGTTCAGGATGTGCCGGACGGGTCCTGCCGTTCGAGCCTGATGATTCTCTCTGGGCCTTTCCTTGCGTCTGGGCTTCAGGGATATTTTGGGCCGCCGTATTGGGCCGAACCTTAATATCCCATCAGTACCAATCAACTAGCAATTATTATTCTCTCACCAATTAGACTTTACACGTGGCATTGTATTACTTGATTAGTTATTTTTAATTGTTGCCCAAGTATTTTCTTCATTATAAATATCACTTTCTAACTTGTGAAAAGAGAGCGTTATTCTTGCGCACAAGCTTACTGTTACTCGTTTTGTCCAAATTTCTACTCAATCTATATGCACTTTGCACTTTTAGGTTATGTATCTCAGTTTCTTTTCATACATTCTTATTGTCTTTTTATCTTTTTCAAATTACATATAAAATGATCAGACACAAATGCACAATTAATTTGCATTTACATACAATTATGTATTATTATTCACACACATCATTAAAATTGATTATACAGAAAATTTCATATTTTGATCACAAAAACTATGATCTGTGCAAATTATTGTTTATCAAACGGACACTGCGCACACAAAGATTGATTTGTGTGTCAACATTGACTTGTTCACTTGTCAAACGGCCATCAATGCGCTGACACGGGAATGGGAGCATCAATTATTTGTGATTATAAATAGTGGAATTATTTGTACATTAAATCTCATTAGAATGTTCTAATGTACACAAACTTTGCTAATCATGATAATTTTTTAGAACCGATTTGGTAAATTTTATTTTCAGCTTAGCACTCATATCAATCAGTTTTTTTATCAAACACGTAATTTTTAATTTTATGCCCTGAGTTGTGCAATAATCAAAATAAGTAAACTAAAATAACTTTTATGCCTGAAGTTGTTGTACATATCATTGTGGTTGTTATATACTCCCTCGTCCCGCAAAATAGTTCCCGGTTTCCTTTTTGGGTCGTCCAAAAAATAGTTTCCATTTTCTTTTTTGGAAAGTTTTTTGTAACTACCATTTATTTACCTTTTTTTTACCCAACCACAACCATACATTTACATTTTATTTCTACATTCTTAAACTCCGATTCAAGTTAATGCGAGAACTATTTTATACTCCCTCCGTCCCTTAATGTTTGTCCTACTTTGACTTCACAAGTTTTAATGAAATGAATTTGACTTTACATTGTAGCGACACTGATTGGCACTGTAGCGACACTGTTTAACACTGTTTGACACTGTTTGTTTATTAAATAAGGAAGTTGAAAAAGTAGGACAAATATTTTGTGACATTCGTTTAGTTTTTCTTATTTTCTAATAATAAAATATATACGAAATATAATTTTTTTGAACTCAACAAATGCAATCAATTCAACCTGGATTTCACCAATGCGACAAAATACACGGAAGATGGGATCATTTACTCTCTGCCGGTTTTTCAACGGTGCTATGCAAGCTCTAGCTCATGATGATGGATCCATTTGGTTTACGCACATTCTGTTTTGTTTTCATAAACTAAGGTTTCCTAAAGAATTGCTAATCATCTAGTCATACTTCTATGAATTTGCAAAAAGATGATGGCGATCCTGCCAAAAGCTCAAATTTGGCAAACAGGTAATCCATGTGTGAGATTTTGGATTTGTGGATGCTATGTATAGGCCTTGTTAATGCCCTATGGTTACAGGCATAATTTAGGCATGAGCTCTATAGAAAACAATTTGAACGCAAATAATGAATTCAACAGTTCCGAGGACCATGAAATGAAGGTACTTGTTTATATATCCAGCTGCATTTACAGTATCATACTATGTTTATGGAGGCAAAGTCATGCTGGCTTTAACTTTGCCCAGGAATCAATTTCTCGTGCAAAGGCACAACAGAAGGAAATTCTTCTTCTCCGTGAGCAAATTGCTCTTGCCAGTGTTAGGGTATGAGTTCCCTTAAAGTTTTTGCTCCTGTGCTATTAGGGTCCATAATGTCTGATATTTTTATTCAACTTTCGTGCCTGGATCTCATTGCATTTGGTCCATGTGATCAGGAATCTCAGCTTTTAAACGATAAGTATACACTTGAGAAGAAATTTTCAGAACTACGAATGGTTTGTCTTCCTACTGATAATTCTGCTGGTGCTTTCTATGGGGTCTATAAACCTCTCTGTACCTAATCCATGACGGCCTTCATAAATTTTTCTGTTTTGTGATATCTGATAATCTGATGTGAAGATATGTCAATTATATTATGATTAATTTTATTATTAATTGATAGGCTTTGGATGAGAAACAAAGTGAGGCTATAGCTTCTGCTTCAAATGAACTGGCCAGGAGAAAGGGTGATCTAGAACAAAATCTTAGATTGGTAAACGAGCTAAAGGTATAGGTAAAAAAGTGGATACACTAATTTTATTGTTGTCTCATATAGTTTCCAATGATCTGGTATTATTGCCTCAATGTAGAATATGAATTTGTAAAGTAACTTTCATGCAAATTTTGCTTTCTCACTCCCGTTTTTCCTCAGTTATTCTCTCCCCCTCTCTCTACGGTTTTCTCCTTCATGATCTCATATAAGTATACAAATTACAGAAGTGATATCAATGAGTTCCTGAAAGCATGGGGCCTCTATAAAAGCAAGGATTAGGTCTTTCACTTATGAAAATATTAATGGTGCGTTTCAAATCTAAAATAGCTGTAAGTTGATTATTCTTGCAATTAGGATGCTGATTTGGATTTGGGAGAGTGCAGTAGAAAATTTTAGACAGAAGTGAACTCATTCAAAGTAAGATGCCAGTGATGCTGTGTATGACTAATTGAGAGACTGCATGATAAATTAAGATTGGTTAAACATGTTCAGTATATGCATGTGAAAGCCACTGCCAAAAGCTCCGTTGTCATTGTAGAGTCTAGCCGTCTAGGTACAAGGCCTGGTTGGAGTTAACAGAAACGAATTCTGGTTGATTTGATGACAGACATTGTAGTTTCAAGTGGTTGTCGCGTAACTGGATCTAATTTCCAAAGAGAAATGAATTGCTGAAAAACAGGATCTCAAAAAAGCTCTTCACAAGTTTACTGACATAACTATTTGAAAATAGAATATTTATTTATTGATATTGTGCATGATTGGCCTGAAGTGTCCATAAGATATTTTTGCCGAAACTCCTTACAAACTAGTATGCTGCATTCTGTGCTTTAAATTGTGTATAAACTCGAAGTAAGATCTTCAAAGATTAGGTCATCAATTACTTTTGGCATGTGTGTACTGCGGAGAAATGTTGTAAAAAGTGTTAGGTCCCTGCTAGGCAGGACAATAGGGTGAATTCCTAGTAGGGCATTGGGGTTCAACATGATATCAGTGGAATTATGCAGAGCCTAAGTGGAAAAAACTAGCAGCAAGGCGGGCATTAAATCGGTGCTGGACAGAGACTTTTACATTTTACACAATGCTTAGTAGTCTGCATTACCAGTTTCTATTGTTGAGTTTAATTGAGTCGAACATTTCTATATACAATCTTAATTTTGCAGATGATTGCCATTTCCCATCTTCGCCATCCTTTCTTTCCTTGCTCTCTGATTCCATCTAAAGTAGCTAATGTTTCAGGACGTGGAGGATGAAAAATATGTTTTCATGTCATCTATGCTTGGCTTACTGACAGAATATGGCATTTTCCCCCACGTTGCTAATGCCTCTACTCTGACCCATTGCATAAAGGTATTGGCATGGGAAAATACTGGTTTTGTTATCTTGCGTTTGGCCTGAATATGCACACCATTCACATCAAACAAAAGAATATGATTTTCATTGTATTTTAAAACTTAATATAGTTAGGGATGGATTTTATAGTCTACCAACATATTCTTTCTGAGGGAGCGGAAGAATACTCACTGTGATCTTGTATTCCAATTCCTTAGCATAACTCATGTTTGAAACTCTTACAGCAATTGCATGATCAACTGGAGATGAAGATAAGGACTGCACATGTGAGATCACCTTTCCACAATCTTGTCTATTTTATTAGTTAAGAACTTGAAGTTTTAGGGAAGAGTGGAAAACCAAGCTTTAGTTTGGGAACTTACTTTAAATCCTTTGCAACTATGTTCTTTTTATCAAGAAAACTCCCAAACTATTTTCATCGTAAAGGTGAGTTCATGTCGATCAACAAAATGTCAAGAATACTTTTCACTCAAGAAGGTTGAACTAGTGAAGATCAAACGTTTGCTAGATGTGAGGAGCTGAGGTTTTATAGGATTATTCCTTCTGATTGACTGTTCATAATAGTTTTTGAGCATTATCTGTCTTATCATCTCTAATTTATAGGTACTTATTTGCTTACTAATTGATTGAATATATGTTTCATGCCTTGTTATAGTCACTACTTCATGACATGTTCAGTCTCAGTAGCTTTTTATTCATACCATTGCATGCTGATTTTTGCTCTTGGTTCAGCTTCATGGCTCAAATGTTGGTTGTCTTGAGCTGATTTATCATTTTACAGGCTAAAATTGCAACCTTGAACTCTCTGGCAGCTAATGGGTCTCTCAATGTGGGTTCTTTTGGTTCTATCCCCATTAATAATCAACTTCCAGACAGCTCTATGGTATTAATGGCGGATGGCCTTCTATGTTGATTATTTTAAACAAAACTTTTTTGATCTGTGTTCTTCTGATGCATGTATATCCAAATGATAATAAACAGCATCTGGATGAACGGGTTTTAGATGGGCAAGGGAATATTGGCACACAAATGAGCAGCTTATTGCTCAATCCCAATGTGTCTCAGTTACCAGATAGTGAAAGTCACCTTATTCACTCATTTAATATGTATAGGTAAGTAATATCATATGATCAAACATTTGTATAAAACCAATAGACATTCAATCTAATAACATGGGTTTTTTCGACTCAAAGAAACCCGTGGTGTTGCTATTAAATTGTGGCCTCATTTCTCTCTCACTTAAACACTAAAATGCGCATGCCTGATATAAAGTTATGATTGTAATGTTCAACTTTCTACTTTCATCTCAATTAGAACAGATAAATCACCCTTTCTTTTTATGTATGTGTGTTCTTTTTATGTATATGTGTATGCATATATGATATATCCATAGAAGTACACCTACAATTGGGTGTCTGAAAGTATGGAGTGAATTCAATGTAGTGTCTTATTTCTTCAAGCACTCAACATAAGAATACACATGCACTCGCATCTAAAAGCAAGAATTTCCAACCTCTTAACTCAATTTAAATAGATCTAAGTAGTTTGGTTTCACTCATGTTTGTGTGATGCTCTATTTTCCATTTTGTGTGAATCTCTCATTGTTTTTGTCATGAATTCATGTATCATTCTTACTTGAATGTCACCTATGTTTATAATAAAAAAGCCTTGAACTAGTTAATAATTTAAAATAAACCTTAGCAGTTTTGTATTACTCATACATATATTTTGCTTCTTGTATCATTTTTCTTTTTTCGTAATGTTTTGAAAAACTGCTATTGGAATTGGAGAACTATATGTATACTCTTATTCTGTCAAGAACTCATGTATCAATGGCAGATGAGTGCTCTAGTATCTTTCACTTATGCACAGACCATTTTCCTGTTTTAGTTTGTATTTGCAACGAATTATTAGGTATCTACTATTTATGGTTACATTAATATTTCAGGAATAATACTCCAAACAACTCAAAAAATTTGTTTAGTAGAAATGGGTTAACTGAGAGTTATGGGGAGAAGCCCACTGAACCCGATCAGTTTCCCAGGAGCAATGAACTATCCAACTCTCTGAGTGCAGAAGGTAATTCAGTTTGATAGTCGTAGGATAGTAAAAATGTGTATAGAATTGTAAGGAGCCTAGATTAGACTAATAACATGAAATATAAAAAATTAAGTAGATAGCATATAGTTAACATTCCTCATTCAGTCATTCTATTAAAAGATTAAAAGTCCTAAATACCATTGAATTGAAGCATAAAAAGAACATTTTGTACGTTGATCTCTTTTCTTCCAACTGTACTGCTAGTCTTACATAAGCTTTGGCTGTAATTGAGATGAAGAAGGAAAAAGATAGTCAGAGACAGAGAGGTCTGAATAACATGATGTGGGATCTGAGTGGGGAACATAAAGAGACAAGAGGAGTGCTAAACGAGAAGAAACTCCAGGGGAATCTGGGTTGGAGTGGAGATTTTTAATTGCCTTGTCAAATGATACTCACTTTTTCAACACTTGTAACATTAAGTTGAAAGTTTACATGCCACCTTTGCGATGTCTTTATTGGCTAGAGACCAACCACTAATTTGTGGCCAGAAAGGGCATTTTTGTAATTCCAAATTGTGAACGATGGCTATTTAAGTGCATACAATGATTTTAAGAGCCCGTTTGGTAGTATCCAAATCGGTTGTACTGTCTTATTCTGCTGAAATTTATGAAGTTCTGGTTGAAGTAGCTGTATTGGGTGGTTCTGCTGATTCATGAAAAAATTATATTTAAAATATTTGTTATTAATAAATTAAATAAAAAATGATATGGAAAATAGCTAAAATGATCCTCTACAGTAATTTCAGCCAATACAGCAAGAAAAGTAACTACAACTTACTTTTTCTGCTTATTACAAACTTCAGCGCGTGAAATCAAAAATTATGTGTTTGGTGAAAAAGCTGGCTGATAAGCCTTATAAGCCGAAAAAAGGGGTCACCAAACGGGCTCTAAATACATTTATCATTGTTTTTCATATTTGAAAAGTTATACATTTTAAATTTTAATGTAATATTATGTGTTCCTTTGCAGGAAGGAGTCCTGGTATAGAAGGATTCCAAATCATTGGAGATGCTAAGCCAGGTGGTAGACTTCAAGGCTGTGGATACCCTGTTCAAGGAACTTCTCTTTGTATGTTCCAGGTAAATAAGTTTTAGGTCATGTCACTAAGGAATTGGAAGGTGGGCTTGCCAATGAAAAATCTCGCTCACTGGCAATCTGTGTTTATGATAATAAGTTCAAAACCTAGCATAGTGTTTGGTTCCAGAGAATAATTGGTTGGGAGGGGAGAGGTTTCAGTCTCAAAATCTTTTGGGCAAGTAAAAAAGTATAAGGGTAGGGAAATCTATTTTAAAGTTTTTCTTCTTGAAATATTATGCTCTTTATCTGCTGTGTTGTGGTAGTATATGACTCAGTGTTATTGAAGTTATAAGAGAGTACAACAATAGCTATATTTATAGCTATAGCTAGGGTACAACTAGGGTTAACTACATGAAGCGGGCTGAGCACAATATGCTAGGGTTTAGGGTTTCAACACTCACTTTCAACTGGAGCATATAAGTCATATGCACCAAGCTTGTTACACATGTATTCTATTCTAGGACTTCGAAGAGACTTTGTTAAAACATCTGCAAGCTGATCTGTTGTGCTGACATGACCTATTATGATTTGTCCTTTTAAAAACTTCTCTCGGATGAAGTGACAATCAACATCAATATGTTTAGTCCTCCCATGAAGTATTAGGTTAGATGTGTTGTGCATTGCAGCTTAGTTACCACACATCAATTGCATTGATATTATGTTTCCGTATCTCAATTCTTGAAGGAAGTGTTTTAACCATAAAATATCACATGCTATAAGGGCCATTGTGCTTCAGCACTTCATCTTTCAACAACATGTTGAAAATCAAGTTTCCACCAATCAGTCGGACATCCAACCCAGCCCAGTCTGCATCAGCATCACAATATCCCACAATTTTATTGTGGGATTTGTTTCCTCGGTCTTCGTAGAGTAACCATTGATATGGTGTTTTCTTTATGTATCCATGACTCGGGTAGCTGCATCATAATGTCCATCACATGACTTATCCAGAAACTGGCTAAGCACACTTGCATTGAAGGAAATATCTGGCCTCGTAATTGTGAGATAGTTCCTCTTCCCAATGAGTCTTTAATATCTCTCTCGATCCGGTAAACGCTCCCATTGTTCATGTAAGAGTTTGACATTTGGATCCATTAGTGTATCTATTAGTCTACACTCCAATATACCTATTTTCTCAAGAATATCTGTTAGCTATATGCATTATGTTAGACTAGAACCTTCTGATGTAATAAGTCCATAGTATATAGCTTGTTAGTATCTCGGTTAGTTGTTAAGTCTAACTGACTTAACAAACTCTATAAATATATTGTAACCCAACTCAGTTCGATCCATCAATGGCGACCGCAGAAAGTACATCTCATTCCTCTGGTACTACAAATCCTGTAAATTCAACAACTCTGGTGACCTTCGCTCATCCATTTCCAGTTAAACTTGACGCCAACAACTTCATCTTCTGGAAACACCATGTCGAGTCCGTAGTTAGAGCACACAAATTGCTTCGGTTTATCATCAAACCAGTAATTCCAAAACAATTTCTCACTGATGACGATGAAGCAGCATATACCGTTAACGAAGCGTATATTGCTTGGGAACAACAAGACCAAATGCTATTTTCATGGCTACTCACGTCGCTCTCAGAAGCTCTACATGCTCGTGTTATTCATTGCTGACACTCCTATGAGCTTTGGAGTGAAATCAACAACTTCTTCCAATCCAGTATCATGGCGAAGGCTAGACAACTCAAATCCGAGTTGTATAACACTGCGAAAGGTAATCGCTCCATTTCTGAGTACTTACTTCGCATCCAAACAATCGCCGACAACCTACTTTCAATTGGAGAACCGATTTCGTCTAAGGATCACATTAATGTGATCCTTGAAGGATTACCAGAGGAATATGAATCTCTGGCTTCGTCTAGGGATGAACCGGTTCCGGTTCGGGCCAGGTTCGGGCCTGGGCCCGGCCGGGCCTCGGTTCATGAAGGGGAGGCCCAGAATCGGCCCGGGTAACCCGCGGGTCCGGGCCGGGCTGGGCCGGGCCTCGGTTCTAATTTTTTTTTTTTGGCTTTTCCTAATTAACCCCCAACCCTCCCCCTCACCCCCAAACCAACCCTAACCACCTCAAATGGCCCAAAATACCCAACCCAACCCAAAAACTTAAAAAAATTCAAAAAAAAAAAAAATTGGCCCGGCCCGGCCCGGGCCTGAACCGGTAGGGCCGGTTCACCTTTTGAAGGGACCGAGCCCGAACCGCCATCCCACCAGGCCGGGTGGCCCGAACCGGCCAACCAACCGGTTCACCGGGCCGGTCCGGGCCCGCACAGTAGCGGGCTGGTCCGGTTCCGGGCCGGTTGGCCCGGCCCGAGTCCAACCCTAGCTTCGTCAATATCTTCTCGCAGTATACTTGATCCACCAACTCTATCTGAAGTTGAGCCTCTTCTATCTGCCAAAGAAACATGACTGCTGAAACTTCGCGAATCTTCTCAACAGAATTTATTATAAGCAAATGTTGCTCGATTGGAAATCTCAACTCCAAATCCTCATCCTCGTACTGAAAACACTAATGACAATGCTTCTGCTCAAGTTGCTCAATTCAACAACACCGGCAATAACAATTCCTACAGAGGTAGAGGTCGTGGAGGCTTCTCAAGAGGGAGAGGGGGCAGATTTGGTGGACGCAACCCCATCATATGCCAAGTTTGTGGTAAAACGGGCCATCATGCACTCATTTGCTATCATAGATACAATCCTTCATATACCGTCTCCAATAATTCAACCAATCCTTACTCCACAAATCCTTACTCCACAAATCTATTGAAGGAAAGAAATAATTTGCATTTAGACCATAATATTGTAGTTAGCCGTTACATATCTTTGGCATTTACTATAGTATTATTATTTACCTTATATACATGATTAGGATGTGTATAAATAGCAGCCTTGTAAACCAGTTTTAACACACAGAAATATATTCAAAACATTTGTTCTCTTCTCTCTATTATGGTATCAGAGCCATTGAGCTCTAACCAGCCCTCCTTCCCTCCCCTATGACAACCAACGAAAGACAACTTGAGGTTCTCCTCCAGCAAGGAGACCTCGACAATGTTCCTACCAGTACACCCATCACCCCTAATATCCCTTCTACAACAGTTTCCGCACCCCTCACCCCAGATGGATTAATCCTTATAAATCCCAGTCATTTCCCAGAAAAGCTGGATGGTTCGAATTACCTTGTATGGCGCGATCAAATTTTGGATCTTCTCTTCGGGTCTCATCTTGATCAGTACATATCCGACGATGCTGCCCCGCCACCGGAGAGTGATGTCGATGGCCGTCTCAGATGGACAAGGCAAGACCGGCTCATCCGACACGCCCTCATAGCTTCGTTGAGTTCGGCCTGTAAACCTCTAGTTGGATCCTCTCGCACGTCTGCAGCAGTTGGAAAACTCTTGAGGACCCCTATGGGACTCGTTCACCATCCCAAATCCGGAACATGAAGGATATCTTCCGCCACACTCGACAAGGCTCTCAACCAGTGGGGGCGTAACTCCATCACCTGCGCACGCTCGCCAATGAATTGGCTCAGGCCGGCCGTCTTGTAGATGACGAAGAATTCGTCGTTCAAGCACTGGAGGGACTCCGACCCGAGTTCGAATCCTTTGCTCACTTCGTTCGGACTTGCGGTGACAATAGGTTTAAGACGATCTATACCCTGCTCACTGGCTTCGAAGACTCCATGAAGCGGAAAGAAGACTCCAACTCCTCCGTTGCTGTGGTGACGGCTAATAACGTGAGTACAAGGGAGTCGGCAGCCCTTGTAGTGCACAGAGATCCAGCCCCTTCTATTTTGGGCCTTGGACCGTCAGCCCAATTACAAAAACAGCCCAGTCACCCTAATTATTCGGCCCGCAACACCAATCGGACTCAGCCCAGAAACCAGCGGCCCAATACTCATTACAGTCCCAACCGACGTGGCAATAACAATTTTGGGGGACCCACTACCAACCAGGCAGCCCGGAACAGCCCGGGGAATGGTAATTTCGGGGCCAATGTTACATGTCAAATTTGTGGGAAACCGAACCATTCTGCTCTCAACTGTTGGCATCGGTTTGAACAACAAGCCTACCCTCCTCAAGTCAATACGGCTGTCACTCGACACAATGGCTGGCTACTTGATTCTGGAGCAACCAATCATGTCACCAACAACCTGAATAATCTTACCTTGGCATCCGATTACACTGGCACTGATTCTCTCGTTATTGGTAACGGTAAAGGTCTTGCAATAGCACAAGTTGGGCATATGACCCTTCACTCTCTTTCTCTACCTAATACCCTTTTTGTCCCTTCTATTCATACTAATTTAATTTCTGTCGCCAAATTATGTCGTGATAATGATGTACTAATAGAATTTCATCCTTCCTTTTGTCTTATTAAGGACCGGCGAACGGGAGCAATTTTGTTACGGGGTATGAATAAAGGAGACGTCTACAGCTTGCCAGATGTACCCCATCCACCATCTCCATTTTCTCACATCACACAAAAATATTCCCTTAATAATTGGCACTGTCGCTTAGGACATCCTGCCCTCCCTATTACTAAAAAAATTCTGTCTTCCTTAGGTATTTCCTTTTCCGATGTTACTACGAATAATTCTCTATGTGTCTCGTGTGCTAGTAATAAAAGCCATAAGCTGCCATTTGCAAAATCATCTCTTTCGAGCTTTGGACCTCTAGACTTAATCTATACAGATGTTTGGGGTCCCGCTCGTGTTAATTCTATTGATGGCTTTCATTACTATGTTATCTGTGTTGATCATTATACCAAATATATTTGGTTTTATCCTATAACTCATAAAAGTGAGGTCACTCCACTCTTTCAACAATTTTAAAAGATTGTTGAAAACTTCTTTTAACGCACAATTAAAACCGTTTATTCTGATGGGGGAGGCGAATACATAACCTTAGGGAAATTCTTAAGCACATGTGGTATTTCTCATGTTTGGAGACAGAAGCTTTTGTAGACATTTGCAGACAGAAGATTTGACTGGGAAGATTCACGAAGCTTTTGTAGGCGCATCTCTTTTGCAGACAAAAGAGACTCAACTTCAGATAAGGTTGGAGGATCGAGAATACTTCGAGAAGATATGGATGAGGCCAGAGACTCGTATTCTTCAGGTAAACCTTCGAGAATCACATTAATGTGATCCTTAGGGGAAATCGGTTCTCCGATTGACAGAAGATTGTCGGCAAGTCTGAATGCGAAGAAGATATTCAGCAATAGAACGCTCACCTTTCGCAGTGTTGTACAGTTCGAATTTCAGTTGTCTGGCTTTTGCGAGGATACTTGACTGGAAGAAAGTGTTGATCGCACTCCATAACTCGTATGAATGTTTGCAATGAATGACACGAGCATGCAGTGCTTCCGATAGCGACGCTAGGAGCCACGAGAACAGCATTTGATCTTGTTGCTCCCAGGCAACATAAGCTTCGTTCATCGTTCCTGCTACTTCATCTTCATCGGAGATAAATTGCTTTGGAATTTGTGGTTTGACAATGAATCGAAGAAGTTTGTGTGCTCGAACGACTGATTCTACATGATGTTTCCAGAAGATGAAGTTGTTACTGTCAAGTTTGAGAGGAAGAGGATGTGCGAATGTTACTAGAGACGCATAATTTGTGGAAGTTGCAGTAGCAGAGGAAGAGTTTGATTCGGCATCTGTGATCGCCATTGATGGATCGAGCTAAAGCTCTGATACCATATTAGAAAGATAGAGAGGGAAGTATTGAAAGCTAACAGAAATCTCAGATTAGATTCAACTGTATTAGAATACAAGTATTTATAGAGTTGGTTGTTCAACTAACATAACAAACCAACCGAGGCACTACTAAACAGCATAATGTAAACTTATTCTAATACAGAAACTTTTAGTCTACTACAAGATGTATATCTAACAAGATCAGATTGAAAATTGCATAGACTGACTGGTGCTTCATAACAAAGAAGCACAAAGAGTTTAGTGAGCCATTTTTCTTTATTCCATCATACTCCCAAGACAAAAAATAGTGAACCTTTGACTCCTGGAGACCTTAGTCTATTAGATAAAGACAAAAGAACTTTTACATCAAATATTTGATTTGATGTGTTCTTTTCTGCAATGCTGCATTTCAGTGGGTCCGCGATAATCCTGATGGTACTAGGCAGTATATTGAAGGTATGTTTATTTTCTCAGAAGGTCTAGCATTGCTCTTTTTTTTAGATGGTCTAGAATTGTTATACAACAAATTGTGCAAACTTTAAAACATTCGTTTTTGTTTAAATAACTATGTATTATTATTGTTATTATCAATTAGGGGCCACAAATCCTGAATACATTGTGACAGCTGATGACGTTGATAAACTAATAGCTGTTTTGTGCATACCTATGGATGAGCAAGGACATCAGGTAGCTTATAGACTTATATTTTAATTATGCGTTCTACTCAATTCAACACTTCATTAAACATGCAGAGCACATGTTCTAGAGTTACTTATTTGAAATTACTAGTACTACCTTTGAATTTTAACATGCCTTTCTCTTCCTGAATGGTATAGTGTGTTTGCTATAGTTACTCACCTTAATTTATGTTCAGCAATGTGAAAAAATAGATTTATATCATAAAACTGGATTGGTCACAATCTCACCCTTCAGTTCTTTCTTATCAGTAGTACATACTTCGCAGTATCTCACCCACATTTAGTTACAGTACATACCTAGTGGGCTAGTACCCACTTTTTATAATTATTTTCAAATTTCATTTGTTTGGTATTGTTGAAACTCTAGCCCAAACCCTGATGGGCTCAGCTCGCTCTGTATAGTCTACATGTAAATATACCTCAATGTATAACTTTTCAGTATGAGAAATAAAAGAGTCTACTTTCATATTATCACATGCAACAGGGGCTTAGTCCCTTTTATGCTCCGTGGAAGGCCAATGCAACAACTGGCCTTTATATATCTCTATTTTGATGAATTAATGCATGGTGCCTTCTGAAATGGTGGTTGGGAATACTAGATTTAATGTACTCTAGATAAAGTATTTGTGCATATATTAACAATTGTATCATTGATTTAAAGGGGCATATCATTAGCATGGAAATTTTGATAGTTATTTTAAAGGTCTTATCCTACCATCAAAGAAAACATACTTACCTATGTCTCCAGAATCATAAAATGATTCTTAGCTGTGTGCCTGAGTATATGTAGTATCTTTTCTCCAACCAATTAAAGCATATCAACTGAAGCCGGTTATTTGGCAACCTATATAACTGCATGGAAGTTATCAAAGAATTCAAAAAGTTAATATGTTGTATAAAAATTGTTTGAATATTTCTGAAGCAATAATTTTTGTAAAATGTTTTCAATTGAATTGACATTGTGCTGGTTTATTGTTGTCCTCCTTTCTCAAATGATTTTATTTTTTCGTTGATGTATTTCAGGTCGTTGTTTTTGTGTATATTATTATTTTACCATTACTCCATTGACATTTACTATTTCCTATTTTCAGGGAGAGCTTGTGAGTCTTTTTGCAAATGATCAAAATAAGATAACTTGTGGTATGTCAAGCTCACCATTCAGTAAATAAAATAATTGCATCAAGTTTGTCTGTTTGAATGACCCTCATTCTCTTCTTATGTACTAGTTATCCTCGATTGCTGATGAACCACCCGTACGTGCAGATCATGGCATGCAATCGGACATTGATACTAATATTTCCAATGGCAAAGCTGCATTTGATGTTTTAATGTTGGTAGGCATTTTTTATTTAACAACATATTATTTGTTCTTTTGAGTACAGCTTATGGTTGATTATTTCTTTCCTATTACTTGGGTGTATGTTTATGTGATTATGTCTAGTTCCTAGATGCTAGATTTGTGCTACATGAATGTTAAAAATTGGCCAAGTCAAAGATATGCATTAGATGTTTGGTTTGTAGCAGCTTGTGAAGGAGCTTCTCTTGTATTTTTTCAATGAATCTCAACTCTAGCTGTCTAGCGACTTTCAATATGAGGATAGTAATTTATATTCATATGAATTTAACTTGTCATAGCTTCTTAATATGCAGAAAGATGTAGTTATCTAAATTTTGATGCATGTAAATTGTAACGAGTAGTTGATTTACATAAAGGGTCAGTTTGAATATTGCTTTTAGGCCAATGCTCTCAATTTGCATTGACATGCCCAAAAAAATCTATTAGTTGTATAAAAAAGCCTTTTCTGGTAGACTAATGGCACACATGTTGCTGATGACTGCTAATAAAAACCAATTATTATATATGTCAGAGTGTCAGACATTAAAGATATCCTCATTACAAAAAATTGCATTAGAATTTGTGATTACTGAACTGTTTCAACTCACATGGTCTCTAACTTTTTTTTATCATGGCTGTTTGTCCTTTATGAGAAGTAACTTGTCTGGCATTAGCACAGCAGTCCAATCGTAAGAAGTATTTAAAAGGAATATTCCTATTGATTTTTAATAGGTTGATTCTTCTGAGAATTGGGAACCAGTAACTCTCTTTTTGAGTCAATCAAGCTTCCAGGTCCAAGTACATAGATCACAACTTGTTGTACTTGCAGAGAAGTACTCAAAAGATTTGTCAGTAAGTGTTTAATCTTTGTTGCATTGATTGGTTTGAGTTGAAGCTTGAAATGCATTGTTTTGAAAGTGACCATTGCATTGGTCTACAGCTGTTTTTGGCTTTCATTCTCAAACTCATATTCTCACGGCGTATTATTATTACATCCTTGACACTGATACAACAACAACATCCAAGCTTTAGACCCAGAAGAGGTTGGGGTTGGCTAACATGAATCGACATATGGAATCGGAGTTTAAGAGGATAAAAAGAGATTCCTTGACACTGATAGGAGTGGGAAAATATTAGAAACATCATATGCTTAGGGTTACCTTCTATTTTGGCATTTCATATACACTTGTATCAATACACATTACTTGAAAAGAAACTCCAACTTTTCTATTTTTCTATTTTAATCACTTGTACATACTGAAGAAGGGGAGCCTTGGCGCACCGGTTACGGTGTTGTTGTGTGACTGAGAGGTCATAGGTTCAAATATTGGGAGCGGCCTCTGGTCAAAATGGCAAGGGAAGGCTTGTCCTTTATACACCTTTGTGGTGGGACCCTTCCTCAGGCCCTTGCCTTGCGGGGACACCAATGTGCAACCGGGCTGCCCTTTAACCACTTGTACATATGGAAACATATGAGTAGAAGAATCATCGCACATAAATGTGTAGTTTGTTGTACAAAGCGGTTAAATTGATGATGACCTTATCTTCTTTGTTAAACCATAATAAGAGAGCTAAATAGGGGCTGGTTGTCTGAAAACCAGCCAGTAGTAGCCAACTAGCCACCTATCTTTTATGGATAGGTTCTTGAGGTATCTCCAGGTGTTCTCTAAAGATCAGTCATCTAACAAACTTTGATGCCAAGGTAGATAACTCGGGTCCCGATGTTGCATGAGATTGTTCAGTTTTGATCATCATCAGCACAATAGTTCCAACTACCTAGTTATACTAATTAAACATATGTAACACACTAACACACTTAAGTGCACGAGAAGGCAGTGTAAACAAGTTTTACATCAGATGTCCTTCCTGTTGCAAGGTTGTTTTTATCCTTCATAAGAATGAATAGGGAGATCAAGTCCTAAACCGTCATCTTCATAGGGTTTTCCCACCCATATAGAAATTCTCATGAGACAGCAATTAGTTGAGATAGTTGCTACAGTGACATATTTTAATCATCTTGGTGTTTGAATAATAATTTAGATAGCGCGCAAAAATGTTGCTGACATGTTCGATGTCAAATGGGATATCTTATTTATCCCATAAATGTCCTAGCAATCTACCATGTTATTGCAGGTCAAAATTCCAAGTGGGCTATCATCTCAGTTCGTTATATCATGTCCTGATGGGTCATCACACCCCTTTAGCACCACAAACAATGATGTCAGGTAATATGTTGTCACAGAAACAGGAAACACTCATGCTTTCCATGCCATCAGTTACTATTGGAGTTTTCTTCTACATAACTCTATATATTCTTGATTTCAGCATGCATTAGCTTTAAATTCAGGAAACTTAATGTCAGTTTGATAGGTGATATACTATATGTGACTGGATGCTAAACACCCCTTTCCAATTATCTTTATTCCCATTATTCTATTCATTACCAGCTACTGTTTTCTGATTTTATGGGTACGTTTGGATCCTAGAAAAAGCGGTGGAAAGGAAAAAAGAAATGGCAAGGAAAGTTAGTTTCTTATGTTAGCTTTACCATGGAAAATTGTGAAGGAAAGTTAGTTTCATATGTTAGCTTTTACCACGGAAACTGCAAAGGAAAATGAAATATGATTTTTTTTTTTAAAATTAGGCCTTCTCAATGCTCATATAAAAGGAATAAATAAATAAATAAAATGAGTTTTAGCAGATGTCTGTTTTTTTTTTGGAGTTTGAGCATATCTTTTATTGTTCCCCATATTTTCTTTCCTAGTTACTACTAGTATCTTAGTTTATTAGCCACATAGAAGTTAACTAAAACCCGATCATGCCCTGATAGTCCACAGAAGCAGAAAGCTGATCATTTGCTTTCTCTCTTGGTTTAATGTACTAGAGGTCTGATTATGCTCATACTCTTTATTTTGCTGCAGAATGCGTGATGCACTTGTACTGACAATGAGAATCTTTCAAAGCAAGGTACTGTTCCATTACTCACTCAAAGAAAAATAGATTGTCTTCTTTATGGATGTTACAAGTGCTTGCGTATAGCGGTGCTGTTACCAATGCTCTACTTAAATTGCAATATTTCACCATCCTCCCAAATCAGGTTCCTTAGAATCGAACTCCAAAAATATGAACTTAGTCCATGAAAGATTGGTTCGATCCAGTTTCAAATTCACTTAAGTTTGAACAAGCTTAACGAATTTTAAGTTAATTTTGAGTATGATTACTCTCTTTCAAGCAGGCATTGGATGAAAGGAGGAAGGCTAAAGCGTAGTTTATTTACAGCCATTTTTCATTCTTTTGAGGAATCAGGAAAGGTTGGCAATTGTTACACACAGTTGTTGTCAATAAGTTGGCTTAGACTTGCTTGTAGTTATGGTCAATAAATGCACTCAATGTTGGACCATGCAGTCATGCACCATATATTTGTACCGATATACCCCTTCATTTTATCATTTTTGTATCCCTAAAGAGCACTCAAATTCGATGTAATAATCTAGTATGTTGAAACCATTAGTTAAAATGAGAAATTGCGTAATGTATTTCAATTACTTTCCTAAAGAAATGTTGGATAACAATGCTAAGAGATTGTTTAGGAAAGCTGAAAAGTTAAATAATTTCTAGGAATTGGTTATATTTATAATCAGTTATTGTTTTAATCGGTTATAATTGAATCATATTTTTTTTAGATGAGCTCGTTAAAAATGGTTTTCAAATAAATGGTTTAGGTTGGGCATAACACAACCTTTTACAAGGTAATTGGATACGAAAATAACCGGAAGAAAAAATAAGCTACTGAAAAATGATCAAATTTTCATATTCAAGAAAATAGTATTAAAATATTGATTACAACTTCCAAGTTCCAACTACCAATCGACTTGGGCATGTCCAAGTCCTATTATGGACCAATTGGTTCTGACTTCTGATGATGTTTTTAATTAAGATTGCAATTTTCGGATATGGTCTATTTTAGTTTCGTAGATGTTTATTCTATGTTATTTTATAGCTATAGGAATTTTTTCTGGTTTAGAGATGAACCCGGATCTCGGGGTAGACTCGGTCCGGGCCAGGCTGGGCCGCTGGGGTGGGCTGGGATGGGCTCTTGGTCATAAATATTCAGACCCGAGTCAGAATCGGGACCGGGTTGGGTCGGGCAACAATTATTATTATTATTATTTTCATTAAAACTAGTTCGACCCCCTCCCAAACTGCCCAGCCCCACCCACCTAGAACTAGCCCAACCCTAAAAATTGGGAAAAAAAATATTTGGTCCCGGATCGGGTTGGACTGGTCCACCTATTTTGAAGCTCGTAGCCCGCCTCTATAAGCCCCCGGTTCAGGCCCTAGTTGGCTAGTCTCGGACCCCCGGGTCGGGTTGTGCCTGTACAGTAATGGGTCAAGTTAGGTCTCGGTCCAGGACCGGCCGTTCCCGGGTTTTATTTGTGATGACCGGAACTGACCCGGATTACAACGTACTCGGCTCTGGTCTGGTCTACCCGGTCTGGGTCCAGTCTACCCGATCTGGGTCCGGACTACTTGGTTCGGTTCCAGTCCTTTTTTTGATTTTTTATATTTTTAAATTTAAATTTATTGTACACATAAAATAAATAAATGTTTATTTATTTGAAACACTACATTGTGACTTGTATCAATATCACATTTGCAAATTACAATTGAGATTTGAGAATAGTTTAAAGTTGAAAATTACAATACATGAACTATTTGTCGGAGTCGCTTCCGACGTTGGTTATCGTTTCTCGGTTTCCCCCATGAAATGGCGGTCCGACCGCCCTGAAGGATGACCTCTCGCAATCTCCTTTGATCGATTGCGTTGGAGATTACCTATATCAACGGATTTCCTAGCCCGGTCCATTGTCTTAAAAAATGTTACAAAAATTACAAATTACTCCCTCCGTCCCGCTATGATAGTCCCGTTTACTATTTCGGTTCGTCCCACTATGATTGTCCCATACTATATTTGGAAACTTTTTTCATACTTTATCTCTAAAGTGTCTGCTTTACTTTATGTTAATAACTTCTCTTAATTGTTTTAATATTAATTAAACCCACCTACCCACTACACTACCCCACTACTTTATCTTTGGAACCGACCTCTTCCATTAATTTCTACCCACTCAACTCTTCCATTTAATTTTCTCCATAGCTCCGCAGGATTTCTCCATAACCGACCTCAAGATCTCATTTGTGCTTTAAAATCTCCACTCCTTTCCTTATCATCCAATTTTTTTTTTCTAATCAGATGTCGTTCGACGGAGACGACCGTCTAAATTATGTGTCTGATTCCGAGCTTGAAGAAGATGAAACCACATCAAATGCTGATTATTGGGCTAATGTTTGAGCTGTAGCAGGAGACTGAAGCTTGACTCCGATATCTTGTTATCCTCGTTGTAGTCTAGAAAGCCAGAAGCGGACTGAAGTATTTAACTAGTACTAATTACAATGTCAATATTACTAATTACAAACTACAATTTATGACTAATTACTAACTACAATTTGTAATATTAACAACTACAATTTAAATACAAAAGAACTAGTTAAATACTTAAATGCAACTACTAACAAAAAAATGTTAAATGATTAAAATGTAACAACAATGAATAATTGACTAAAAGAATGTTAAATGATTATAATGCAACTACTAACTACTATACATACATACATACATACATACATGCATACATGAATACACGCATACACGCATACACGCACACACGCACACACGCATCCATACACACATACACGCATACACGCATACACGCATACACGCACACGCACACACATACATACATACATACATACATACATACATACATACATACATACATGCATGCATGCATGCATGCATGCATGCACGCATGCATACATGCATGCACGCATGCATACATGCATGCACGCATGCATACATGCATGCACGCATGCATACATACATACATACATACATACATAGGGAAGTGCTCTAATAAAAACCTCTTCTTAGGTGAAAACCCCAAACCCACTACAACCATTCGATGAGAACATCTAGTGGACCTTACTGTGGAAGGTGCATACTAATAACGTGGAATGCAACTCAGGGAAACACGAATTCATTACCAATTTGCCGAAATTCTCATGTTTGTAAGGGCACATTAGTAAAATACAACATATCATTTACGGTTAATTGAAATCACCTCCGGACGAATCCAAAAATGGCGCTATTGTCATCTGCAGTTATGCGAGAGTTTATTTGAAAGGAAGTTGCAGATGTTATTTGCATGGCAGAAAGTGCAAAACAAAGGGGTGGCGACAAGGGGTCTGGTGTCCGACATGTAGAGGGTTGCATTACCTTTTTATAAAAGTGCTAAGTCAACTGATTTGTTATTAGTTGGAATTATAATGTGCGTTTGTTGGCATTAAAAGTGCAATAAGTATTCTAAAAAGTGAGTCAACCGGGTTATTAATTATTTTTTGAGATGAAAGAAAATTCTTCAATTGATAGTAAGCAATGGAAAAAATTAAACGTTAGAAAATGCACGTTGACTGAAATAACTGTCTAAAATAACCGTTCTTTCCGGATGATGTATGTGCATTTTAATGGGATAAAGGGAAAATGACGTAAATAGACATCAAATACTCATCTGGGTCAGCGAGAATAGCTTCTCAACGTACGGCTACGATTAGTTCTTAGTTTTCATGGGAGGGAAGGTTTTTATTTGATCTATTATATATATATATATATATATATATATATATATATATATATATATATATATATATATATATATATATATATATATATAGGTTTTGGTTCAAATAAGAACATGATCTCCCTAGGAGAGAAATGAGAATGAATTTGGATCGTTAGATTTGCTTTATGTAAAATTCAATGTGCATTAGATGAAACTGTAATGTGAATTATGTGAAATTTAAATGTACATCACAAAGAGTACAATACAGTGGTATTATGTGAAGCTCAATAGTGCATTAGGTGAGCTTGAAATGTGCAATAGGTGAACATGAAATGTGCAGAATAAAAGGTACGATGTGATGTTATTTTTGTACCTTTTTATTCTGCACATTTAAATATCATCTGATGCACATTTCAGTATCACCAAATGCACAATTCAGTTCCACATAGGTGCCATTTGGATAACAGTGGATGGAGCAAACCGCTAATCAATTAACACATCAAAGCGCTGCAAAATGCAGCGGTTTGCTACCCACCCGCTGAAAAACAAATGAAGCCATAATATGATCCAACGGTCCAGATTCATTCTTATTTCACTCATGGGAGTCCGTTCTTACCGGAACCGCTCCATATATATATAGGGTAAGGATCAAATGAGAATACCATCTTAGGAGAGAAATGAGAATGATTTTGGAGTGTTGGATTTGAGCATTGTGCATCATGTAAAACAGAAACGTGCATATAAAAAATTGGAAAATGTGCATTTCGTCTGTGCAAAATTTTAAACGTAAATGTGCACATTAGAATATTGCATTACTTTAATTATAAATGTGCAGTTTTGTGAAAGATAAAGTGCATCGTTTTGGAGTGTTCTCATTTCTCACGTTAAGGAGTGTTCTCACCGGAACCGCACCCTATATGTGTGTGTGTGTCTATATATATATATATATATATATATATATATATATATATATATATATATATATATATATATATATATATATATATATATATATATATATATATATATATATATATATATATATGGAGCGGTTCCGGTAAGAACGGACTCCCATGAGAGAAATAAGAACGAATCTGGACCGTTGGATTGCATTATGTGGAACGGAAATGTGCATTTGATGAAACTGAAATGTGCATTAGATGAAATTGAAATGTGCAAAATAAAAATTTAAACTCAATTGTGCGTTAGGTGAAACTGAAATGCGCGGAATAAAATGTACAAAAATAACATCACATCATACCTTTTATTCCGCACATTTCAGTTTCACCTAGTGCACATTTCAATTTCATCTAATGCACAATTCAGCTTCACATAATAACATTGTATCGTACGCTTTGTGTTGCACATTTCAATTTCACCTGATGCACATTGCAGTTTCATCTAATGCACATTGAATTTCACTTAAAGCAAATCTAACGGTCCATATTCGTTCTCATTTTTCTCCTAAGATCATGTTCTTATTTGAACCAAAACCTATATTTTCAAGTGATCAAAGGCCAAGATTTGTTCTCACTTTTCATGGGAAGACTACTTTTTACTTGAACCCACCCCTATATATATAAGAGATCAAATATAAACCATGCTTAAAATATTAACCTACAAACTCAATACTATGCATCACTTTGAACTTCAATATGCAGTAAAAATAATGTAAAGATGCAGGGGTGGGATCTCATACAAACTAGTCCTCCCATTCAAATCGTCTTTACATTATTTGTATTGCACATTGAAGTTCAAAGTGTTTCCTATTATTCAAGCCATAAAATAGTAGTTTCATATTTACATTATTTGTATTGCATATTGAAATTCAAAGAATGCATCTTTACATTATTTGTACTGCATATTGAAGTTCAAAGAGTTGCATATTATTGAGTTTGTAGGTTAGTAAGTTAA